GTGAGGAGGCGCTGCCGACAGACGCTCGTGAGATACTGGAAAAGGAGCGGTTGGAGCGATCGGACATACGTCTTCAACACGTTCTCGGGCTGCAGGTGCACGGTAGCAGATACGCCATGCAGGTCCAGGCAACCAGGCGCATGCGGCTGAACCCACTCTCAGGCCACACTCAGCGCATGTTTTCGCTGACGGGATACGGCACCGGCGATTGGCTGACAGCGATACCCATTGAAGCGACTAGGCGGATTGGCCCCGTACACTTCGCCAACTCCATCAAATTCCGCCTGGCTCTCCCATTCTTGACTCCTAAGAATTGTGACTGCGCGGACAAAACGGCTATCACCGATCCCCGCCTGCCGAACCATCTCCTGCGCTGCGGCTTGGGCAAACACCGCATTAACAGCCACAACGAGCTGCGGGATGCATGCATCAGCATGGCGCAGCACGCAGGTTTCATTGTCCACAGCGAGTCAGCCGCCCATTGCCCCATCGAGGAGCAAACTGCCGACTTTACCATGACGGATCGAAGCAGTGGGGCGGTGTATGTGTGCGATGTCACTATCACGGATCCCATAAGCACGAGGGACCCAGAGGCGCAGAACGGCCGGGGATGGGCGGCCCGGGAACAAGCGGATAAGAAGATCCAGCATTACGCCAACCGGCCGGAGACGGTTGCCTTTTTCCCACTAGCAGTCGACACCTATGGCTGCCCATGCGCGGAAGTACCAACCTTCCTGAAGCTATTGGCAGACACGGCGGCTCGGCGGCACTTCAACGCCGACTCAAAATAATACTATGCCGCAAAGTTTTTACTATCAGTTCCGACAGAGATGGTTGGTGGCCCTCCAAAGGGCGCAATCTGTGGGCCTCCTGATGAAGATGGGCGAGGCGGCTGCAGCTGAGAACCCGCCTGTGGGCGGCATTGGGCAGGAGTTGCACCTTGGAGATTGTTTTGCAGTGATAGAGCCCCTCCTAGATCTTTAGGGGTTTTTAGCCTAGTACCCTAGTATAAAGTCCCTAGTTACTCCCTTCTGAGCTCATTCTTCACTGGTGAGTTCAGTTTACTCTCCAAAACCGGCGGCTCGTTCAAGAGAGCGAGAGAGAGAGAGAGAGAGATGGCCTAGGCCTAGTCCTTAGCTGTTTTTCTGCCCTCTCTAGCCTTGGTATCCAGTCCTTAGCCGTTTTTCAGCCTAGTACCCTAGTATAAAGTCCCTAGTTACTCCCTTCTGAGCTCATTCTTCACTGGTGAGTTCAGTTTACTCTCCAAAACCGGCGGCTCGTTCGAGAGAGCGAGAGAGAGAGAGAGAGAGAGAGAGATGGCCTAGGCCTAGTCTTTAGCTGTTTTTCTGCCCTCTCTAGTGTAGGATCCAGTCCTTAGCCGTTTTTCAGCCTAGTACCCTAGTATAAAGTCCCTAGTTACTCCCTTCTGAGCTCATTCTTCACTGGTGAGTTCAGTTTACTCTCCAAAACCGGCGGCTCGCGCCGGCCGCCTTCGGCGGCCGCCGCTCGCCAGCGCGGCCTACGGCCGCGCGTGAGGTGTGGCAAGGGAGTAAGCACCTGGCAGGTCAACATGGGGCAATACAAAAAGGAGGCATAGATCTACTGCAGGTGCAACAACACCACCGGGCGTGAGTACTCCGCCATGGGGAAGCCCAACCCCAGACCTGCTACAAAAGGGGCTGGCAAGGGGAAGTCTACCGCTACTCAACGAGGATCCAACACAGCCTCCCGTCTAGCCAGCGCAAGACGGACGCGGCTGCCGCAACTAGGTCGAGCGGGTTGCCGCGGGCCGAAACAGCAAGCCGCGCCAAAGCTCCAGGGCCAGGCCCGAGGGCAGCCCCAGGGGAGCCCGGAACATAGCCAATCAGGGGGAGGTAATGCTGCAGCTCCTCCGCCACCGCCACCGCCGCCGACTGCTCCGCCGGCTGCATTGCCTCGACCTGCACCTCCTGCTGCACCAGTGTCACATGTAGCTGGTCGAGCACATATGACAGGAGTGTCATGCACGTCCCAACGTGCATCACGCGCTGCTCGACGGGAGTTGGAGGCGCGCCAAGACCCAGGGCAGGGGGAGGAGGTGGGCTCGGGGCGTGCGGGAAGTGTGACGGGGGAACTTGGGGCATTGGGGGACGAGGCGGCAGTGGCTGGAAGGGCAGGGGAAAACGCCGCAGTGGGGACTGTGCTGGGGGCAGCTGTGGTGCCCAGGAGGGCGGCTGGTTTGGTGCTTGAGGGAGCTGCTGCTGCTGCTGCGACTGCTGCTGAGACGGTGGCTGACCCTGTGTTTGCTGGCGGTTCTGCCGCTGCCGTTGGCGGCGGCTCAACTTCACACGCTGCTGCCCCACGAGCGGCACAGAAGGAGGCGGAGGAGCCAAGCCCGGGCGTGGATCAGGAGCAGATCGCGGAGGCGGTGTTGTCGGCGTCTCCGGCGCCTGTAACGGCGACTGTGCTGGCGGCAGTGGTGTCTGCTGCGATTGGGGAGCAGGGCGCAGCCCCGTCAGAGGTTGACGCGATGCCTGTCGCTGAGAGCGCCGGAACGCGTGTACCTGCCGCGGCCGCAAACAGGCAGGAGCACGGCCAGGCGGAGGGTGAGTTTCCGGGACCTGCGAACGGAGCTTCCTCCGGCGCTGCAAGGGCGGTCTCGAAGAAGAAGTTACGTGCCCAGCCAGCGCCGAGACGGCCCGGAGCAGGGCTGGGACCTGGCTCCCCGGGACCCCTCCTGGGCTGGCTTCTGCAAGGGCAACCGCCATCTGAGCGAGCGCAGCGGTCGCCATCGGTGAGCCAGCGAGAGGGGAGAGAGGTGACTGAGGCTGGAAGCCGCCCGCCAGGAATCTCCCGGGACACTTCCGCTCCCAACGTAACACCAGCAACGGCAACGCGCGCTGAGGCTCCAAACACCACGAACGCCGTTGCACACAACACCCGCCACGCGACGCGACGAGCGGCAATTACCTGGGGACCGCCCCGCGGAGGTCGGACACCGTGGCTGCCGGCGGGACGTGGAGCTACGGGCGTGGTGGCAGGAGCACCGACAAGCGCGGGGAGGACTCAACGGGGGGGCGGTGCACGGGGAGCGCGCGGAGGGCGAGGGGGAAGGGCCCTGGTGGGGGGATCTGAGATCCCCGTACGAGTTGGCACCTGGCGGGAAAGGCACGACAGACCAGAAGCGGGGGCAGCACCAACGAATGAGGAGGAAGCAGCGGGCTCTGAGGACAACGGTGGCGACCCAGAATTTATGTGTGGTGACGGAGCTGAATCTGAGGAGGTGTCCTTGGAGGAGGAAACTGGGGTGGACAGGAATGCACCCAACACACGGGGAAGAGGGTCGAGGGGGGATGTGCAGAACCAACAAGCTGTGGGAGATACAGGTGGAGCAACTGTTGCGACGGATGTCTTCTCGCCTACTGACATGGCGAAGGATGATGCCATCTGGCAAGAAGCTGGGGGTTGGGATATGCAGCAACTGCAACGTAGTGACCAGCCCTTCCTTGTTCGCCGCCTACCTCCACAAATCCTAGACAAATATAGCCTCTGTCTGCTGGCGCCACTTCTGAGGCTGGAGAAGTTCCCCACGTGCCTAGGGGCGTGGAAGATTCTTCTCTTCCTACCGAGGCTTACACTACGACCCTCTCCCGAACCTGTTATTGGGAGCCGCTGGGCTCGAATTGAAGCTCGGCTGCACCAATTTCAGCAGGGGAAATGGGAGGGACTTTTCGAGGAAGCTGGCACGATCCCCGATACCGAAACCCCGCTACGACACCAACCGGACGACGAAGGTGTTTGTGCACGTGCCGAGGGGTTAATGAAAAAGGGCAATATATCGAAGGCGGTTGCTGCGTTATGCACCAGCCCACTCGCTGAACCCAGTTCGGCAACCCTCGCAGCACTCCGGGCGAAACACCCACATGCTGAAGACGATCTCCCAGCCTGGGTAACAGGGGTAGCAACTTCTGAGCTCGCCATTCAGATCGACGCACTTCGCGAGATCCTGGCGAAGTGCCCGAATGGGGTGGGGGGGGGGCCCTCTGGAATGTGTTTCGAACACCTCAGAGATCCTGCTCTCGCAAATGAGGAGATATTAATTCTACTCGCCAAGATAGTTAACAATTTCCTTAGCACCTACCAGTCACAGGAGCTGCGCGACCTTGCCCTATCCTCGCGCCTGATAGCTTTGGAGAAACCGGGGGGTGGGGTCAGGCCTATCGCGATTGGCGAAACATTGCTCAGAATAGTAGCGAAAGCAGCTCTACACTTCGCTCGGCTCCAAGATACGTGAGTTCTTTCTCCCGGTCCAATTCGGCGTGGCCATCCCGGGGGGAGCGGAGTGCATCATACACTCGGTTAGAGCGCTACTACAGGAGGACGTCCCGCGGATCGCGTTGCAGCTGGACGTAGAGAACGCGTTCAATAGCGTCGAACGCAGGGCCTTCTTCGAGGCGTTGCAATGGTCTAACCTCAACCCCCTACTCCCCCTGGTCCGAAACCTCTACGACGGCCCGTCGAGGCTGTTGGTTGACCAGCGTTTCGGCACTGAGTACATCCTGAGCTCCCGCGGAGTTTGCCAAGGCGATCCACTCGGCCCGCTCCTGTTCGCGGCGGCGATCCAGCCAGCCCTGCTGAGTGTGGCCACTACCCTGCCGGATGTGGCGATCGTCGCCTACGCCGACGACATTACGATTGTCGGCCCACGTGAAGCCGCCTGCCTCGCCTTCGACACGATCGCTGCGGCCTTGGGAAAAGCAGGACTGCGATGCAACATCGCCAAATCAACGACCTGGGGGAGGAACGCGAGCGAGCAGCAGGAGGAGCTGCCGCTTTGGCTGACCTCGAACCCGGGAGGAATCAAGGTGTTGGGCAGCCCAGTTGGGACTGATGATTTCTGCACGGACCACGTACGGGCGGCGCTGGGGGAGGCGGCATCACCGCTCCTACTCATTTCACAACTGAACCCGCAGCACGCGCTCCTTATGGTCTCGCGCAGCATCTCACGACGGATCTCATACATGCTCCGGACGACCCCGGCTTCGACATTAAGTGCGCGAGAATGGAGGGAGTGGAGTGAGACTCTCCTGGGCACGGCACTCACCGCGGCGAAACTACGGATCCCCACCTCCGAGCTTGAGCAGAGCCTGCTGTGGCGTCAGGGGACACTCCCCATCCGCCTGGGCGGCCTCGGGGTGATCGACCCTATCTATGAGGCACCCGCGGCATACCTGGCTTCAGTCACGGCGGCACACATCCTACTGAGGCAGCTGAACCTGCCAACGGACTGCCTCCTGAGCCGGGCGTCACAGCTCCTCTCCCACGAGTGGGCCCCACTGCCACCTGAGACAAACCCCAGAGCCACGATGGAGGGTAGCCTCCCTGCTGAAGCCCGAGCAACACTAGAGCAGTACAGGTCAGGGAGTCTGGGCACTGGGAACCTGCAGCTGGGGCTGTCCAAGTCTATCAACCAGCAGCAGGCGTTGGAACTCTTAGCAGACACACTTCAGGACCGGCCGGGGGAGGACAGGGGCCACGCCATCCGCCTCATCAGCCTCAAGGGGGTGGGCGCGGGTGACTGGCTCCATGCCATCCCAACGAGAGGAGACCTTAGCCTATCCCCTGGCCAATTCTCGATAGCCTTGGGCCTGCGGTTGGGCATGGAGCTGCCGGTCGCCGAGGTGTGTCCGTGCAAGCGGGAAAACGCGACGATCGCCGATAAAAGCCTCCCCAACCACCTCCTGCGATGTGGGGATGGAGGGGACGACGTAAGGACCCACCACGCCCTGGTTTTCGCGGCTCTCCGGATGGCCAAGGATGCGGGTTACAAGACGTTCCATGAGACCACGGCTTTCTCTCCCCCCGTCCTCCGGAAGCGTGCAGACCTGGCCATCCGAGACCAGGAGTCAGGGGAAACGTGGGTGACGGATGTCACGGTTACAGATCTGGTATTGCAGAGGCGGGACAAGAGGGCCAGGAAGCCGCCTGGGTGGGCAGCGGAGGAAGCTTCCGAGGGAAAGCACAGGCTCTACGAGGGCCGCCCTAGCTACGCTGGGTTTTTTGGGCTGGCGGTGGAGACGTATGGGGCTCTGGCTAAGGACACACAGCAGTTCCTCCGTTTGCTAGCCACCCATGCCGCCAGGACAAAATACAGGAAGGGACGCCTCACGACGACCGCCGCCCGACTCAATGCACACTTCAGGCAACGGTGGTCCGTGGTGCTCCAGCGCAGCCAGGCTATCTCCATCCTCTCCAAGTCCAACCGAGCAGCGGAAGCGGCATTCCCTCAGGCTGCAGCAGACCCTTGGGCGCCCCGGCTGGGAGACCTTTGGCAGGTGCAGGTGGATGAGTATGAGGAGCGCCAAGCTCCAGCTAGAGTGGCTTGAGAGGCTGGGGAGAAGGGAACTCGGTGACACGGAGGTGTTGGGTGGCAGCAGGGGAGGAATACAAGGGCGTGGCGAGAGTGAGGAAGGGAACACATAGTTTGGGAGGCTTTAGGGGAGGACAGGGAATTGGTGGGTGTCTCAGGGAAGGTGCGAAGAAGCTGCGGGGTGAGGAAGGATAAGGGGAGGTCTTATGATAAGGGAGAAACAAGGGATAGGTGAATAGGGAGCTCTCAGGGACTTCTATTCCAACGAAGGACGGAAGAGGCAGCTGACACAAGGTCGAGGGGGCTCTCCTGGGCAGACTCAGCTAGCCTCACCATTGCCCGGGGTCCGGGCCCAAGCGCTGCACCAGGGGTGCCCGGCACGAGGCCGATCAAGGGAAGATAGTGCAGCATCTCCGTCGCTGCAGCCACCGCCGCAGAGCGCTCAGCGGGCAACATCCCATCAACCTCCAAGCCTTGTCGTGCCAAACACACGTGAAGCTGGTCCAGTACGTACGACAGCAGCGTCAAACACGTCCCCACGTGCACAACGCGCTGCTCGACGAGGGGAGGCAGCGCGCCTGCAGGAGCAGCAGCAAGAGGAGCAGGCGGGACAGGAGGGTTTGGCGGCGCAAGAGGAGCCGGCGGCTGACGCAGTTGAGGCCGGGGCAGAGGAAACTGATTTACGGGGGGATGTCGCTGCTGCAGGGTCAGGTTTGACGCGGCGGGGGGAGCAGGGTGCTGCGGCAGAGGCGGATCTGACGGGGACGGGGCGGGAGGCGCACTCGCCTGCTGCTGTGCCTATAGCCGCCTCTCACGACGACTCAACCGCGCCTGCTGCGGGGCCGATGGCGCCACCAGCAGACGAGGTTGTGAGCATGGGTCGGCTGATTCACCGGCGCCATTGGTGGCGGTGTTCTCGTCACCTCTCGGGGAGGTGGAGATTGCGGCGGTCGTAGCTCAGGCAGCGAGGCAACCAGAACAACCCCCGAACAAACCGTTTGCGCCGACTGCAGCTGAGTCCGCCGGAATGTCTGCTGCTGCCGCGGCCGTAAACATGCAGGAGCGCGGCTAGGCGGTGGATGGAATCGAGGGTCCCGTGATCGGCGCCGCTTCTGGCGCCGCACCAGCAAGGAAGAAGGTGAAGCTGCGCGCCCAGCCAGCGCCGAGGCGGCCCAGAGCAGGGCTGGGACCTGGGATCCTGGGACCCCTCCTGGGCTGGCTTCGGCAAGGGCACTCACCACCAACGCAAGCGCGTTTGTTGTCATCCGCACCACAGCCTGCAATGGGAACTGGCGGGAGGGGTAACACGGAGGCAGCTGACCGTGCACATCGGGGAACCGAGCAGCCAAGCAAGATGCAGCAACCAACGGAAGGATCACCCACGACCCAGCAAGCAACTCACCAGGAAACACGGAGCTCGACGAGAGGCCGGGGAAATGTGTGGGGTAGGCCGTCGGGGGCAGGACGAGCGACAATGGCAACTCCCCGGGTGCCGGCCAGTCAGGGTTTAAGGCCTGCGCAGGAGAGCGCGAGAGGCGGCAGCGCTGGCGTACTTCCCGCGATGCCCCGTGGAGGCAGGGGGGGAAGAGGAGGGACACGCGGGAGGGGAGTTCCACTCCTGGGTGGCGAGGCTGCAATTGTGAGATCAGGCACGTGTCGTGATCGCCACGACCGCCCGGAGCGTGTACCTACGCCTGTGTGTGTGAATGGGGGCGAGGAGGGGTCTGAAAACTCCCAGAACGGGAGCGAGTTTATCCCCTCGCACTCAGAGGCATCGGAGGATTTGGTCTCCCTGGGCGACGATGAGAACCAACATGTGTCGGCGCAGGTGCGAGTGAGGAGGACGGAGCAGGGTGGCATGCCACAACCACCCAACATGCCAGCAGGACAGGCCCCAGCTGTGCCACCACAGCCATCCGAGAAATCGCCAGCTGACCTGGCAAAGGATGAGTCTTTCTAGCACCTGGCCAGCACTGGGGACATCGCACTACTCCAGCGTGCGGATCAACCGTTCCTGGTGAGGCGGTTGCCCCCAAAGATTCTGGAGAGCTACAACCTGTGCCTTCTGGCCCCGCTGTTGCGATTGGCCGAGAAACCAGACTATGTGGGGGTGTGGACGGTGCTGCAGTTTTTACCCCGCTTGATCCTTCGACCTCTACCAGAGCCGGTGGACGGGAACCGCTGGATCAAGATTGAGACTCGGCTGCACCACTTCAGGATCGGGGATCTTGCCGATCTCTACAGTGAGGCATGCGCGATCCCCGATACTAAAGCCCCGTCACGACACCAGCTAGACGAGGCAGGCCTGTGCGCGCGAGCAGAAGGCTTGATAAAGAAGGCCAACATTTCCAAGGCAGTGTGTGCGTTTCAAGTGACCCGACACTGGCGGAACCAACACCTGCTACACTTGCAGCTTTACAGGCAAAACACCCTGTCGGGGAAAAACCAATTCCGAGCTGGGTAACCAATCGCACCGGTGTACCTGCCTCGTCATTGAATCTAGCCCTAGGCGATCTCCGCGAAGTGCTAGCGAAGTGCCCGAATGGAGTTGGAGCAGGCCCCTTTGGCACTTGTTTCGAGCACTTGAAGGACCCGGCCCACAGCAGCGAGCGAGTCCTACTGCTCCTCATAGAGGTCATCGGCCAGCTACTTAACAGTTTACAGACAAGGGAGATATGCGACGTGCTCCTCCTGTCACGGCTGATAGCACTCGAGAAGCCAGAGGGGGGCGTTCGACCCATCGCTATAGGCGAGGCCTTGCTTAGAGTCGCGGCGAAGGCGGCGCTACGTGAGTTAGCCCCAGCGATCCGTGAATTCTTCCTCCCGGTTCAGTATGGCGTGTCAGTGCCTGGTGGCGCCGAATGCGTCATTCATTCCGTACGGGCCTTGCTCCGAGAACATGACAACAACGTAGCGCTCCAGCTCGACGTAGAAAACGTGTTTAATTCGGTTGAGCGGGAGGCGTTCTTCACGGCGCTAGAAATCTCAGCCTTGCACCAGCTGCTGCCGTTTGTAGGGCTGCTGTACGACTCGCCATCGCGCCTTCTAGTTGACCCGGCCCTAGGAGTTGAGCACATCTTGAGCTCCCGCAGCGTGCGTCAGGGCGATCCCCTCGGCCCTCTCCTTTTTGCAGCAGCGATTCAACCGACCCTAACGTGCGTGCATCTTCTCATCCAGGGGCGGCAATCATAGCGTACGCTGACAACATCACAGTGGTAGGGCCGCGGGAGGAGGTGTTCAAGGCTTTCGATGCCATCGTTGAAGAGCTGGCAAAGCGCGGGCTACGGTGCAACGTAGCAAAGTCATCGGCATGGGGACCGCGAGAGGGATACGAGGGGCAGCTGGGACTGCCACAGGGATTACGGATGAGCATCGGGGGGATCAAGGTGCTTGGCAGCCCCATCGGCACGCCGGAGTACTGAACTGTTGAGATCCGTCAGCCGCTCACCAAAGCATCGGCACCTATCCCTCTTATAGCGCAGCTGCACCCACAACACGCCCTGCTGCTCCTCTCCCGCAGCATCTCCCGCAGGATCTCCTACCTGCTTCGCACCACACCAAGCATCACGTTGGATCTGGAGGAGTGGAGAGGGTGGAGCGAGTCGTTGGAAGGGGCGGCGCTTACAGCCGCCAAGCTACGGATCCTTGCGAGTGAGCTGTAACAGAGCCTCTTGTGGCGTCAAGTAATCCTGCCCGTGCGCCTTGGGGGGTTGAGCATCATTGATCCCATCGGCGTATATTGCATCCCTGATAGCAGCGCATCACCTGCTGCAGCAGATGAACTTGCGGGAGTAGGAGCTGTTGGCACGGGCCGAGACGCTGCTGTCCAGAGATTGGGTCCCCCCGCCCCCAGCGTCAAACTATCTGGTGGCACTAGAGGAGGGGCTGCCGACAGAGGCAAGGACAGCACTGCAGACCTACCGGGAAGGCCCCCAGGGGCAGGGTAACCTGCAGCTCCTCTTGTCCAAGCACATCAACTCGGTACGGGCCAGGGAGCTGCTAGCCGACACTATGGTCGACAGACCGGGGGAAGACCAGGGGCACGGGGCACGGCTAGTGAGTTTGAAGGGAGTGGGGTCCGGGGATTGGCTACACGCAGTGCCGACAAGATATGACCTTACATTTGCCCCTGGTCAGTTCTCGTTGGCACTCGGGTTCCGCCTCGGGATGGCCATACCAGTCACGGTCAAGTGTCCGTGCAAACGTGACAACTCGGAAATCAAGGATACCAGTCTGGCGAATCACCTGCTCCGGTGTGGGGAAGGGGGGGACGTGGTGAGGACGCATAACGCCCTGGTCTACACGGCTTTGAGATTGGCGAGGGAGGCGGGTTTCAACACCTTCCATGAGACATCGGTGTTTTCCCCCCCGGTCCACCGCAAGAGGGCAGACCTGGCGTTCCAGGATAGGGAATCAGCGGAGACCTCGGTCACAGTGACCGACCCAGTGCTGCAGAAGCGGGACCCCAGGGTGCGGAAGCCACTGGGGTGGGCTGCCAAGGAAGCTTCCGAGAAGAAGCACCGCCTTTATGATGGCCGCCCTGACTACGTGGGGTGTTTCGGCTTAGCAGCCGAGACCTACGGGGCGCTGGCGACCGATACTGTGCAGTTTCTTAGGCTGCTAGATGTGGCCACAGCGAGGAAGAAATTCAGGCAGGGGCCGCTCACCACCACCGCCTTTCGCTTCAATGCTCACTACCGCCAACGCTGGTCAGTCATGCTGCAGTGATCCCAAGCGATCTCGTTCCTTAACAAGAGCAACATGGCAGCCGAGGCAGCCTTCCCCCAAGCACCTGCGGACCCCTGGGAGCCGAGCCTAGGGGACCTCTGGCAGGTGCTTGATGATGACCTTGCAAGAGTGTAAGTGCAGCCGGGGGTGAACCAGGGATGTAGGGTTGACCAGGAGGTTGTGAGGACCTAGGCAACTCAATTGGTAGCGCCAGGCCTGCCATTGGTAGCGCCAGACCTCGCTGACCGGGTTTGGCACTGGCGATTGGCTGACCGCGATCCCCATTGAGCCCACCAGACGGATAGGCCCCGTACACTTCGCCAACGCCGTTCGATTCCGCCTGGCCCTCCCCTTTTCAACCCCTAAGAACTGCGACTGTGCGGACAAGACCGCCATCACCGATCCCCGCCTACCGAACCATCTCCTCCGCTGCGGTTTGGGAAAACACCGCATCAACACCCACAACGAGCTGCGGGATGCGTGCATTAGCATGGCGCAGCACGCAGGCTTCATTGTTCACGGGGAGTCGGCCGCCCACTGCCCCATCGAGGAACAAACCGCCGACTTTACAATGACGGACAGAAGCAGTGGGGCGGTTTATGTCTGTGATGTCACCATCACGGACCCCATCAGCACGAGAGACCCAGAGGCGCAGAAAGGCAGAGGATGGGCGGCACGGGAACAAGCCGATAAGAAAATCCAGCATTACGCCAACCGGCCAGAGACGGCTGGCTTCTTCCCTTTGGCAGTTGATACCTATGGTTGCCCATGCGCGGAAGTACCAACCTTCCTGAAGCTCCTTGCAGACACGGCGGCTCGGCGCCACTTTAACGCCGACTCCAAATCCTTTTATGCCGCCAAGTTCCTGCACCAGTTTCGGCAACGATGGTCAGTAGCCCTCCAAAGGGCCCAATCAGTGGGTCTTCTGCTCAAGTTGGGCGAGGCAGCAGCGGCAGAGAACCCGCCTGTAGGGGGTATAGGACAAGAGTTACGCCTAGGGGACTGTTTTGCGGTGGTAGAGCCCCTTCTGGAGCTCTAGGGGAAAAGCGGGTACGATTGGTGCTTTGTTTGTTTGTTTGCTACATCCTAAACCACACTGCATGCTTGTACTTGCTGCTATATCAATACAAGGACCATTAGAGAGAGAGAGAGAGAGAGAGAGAGAGAGAGAGAGAGAGAGAGAGAGAGAGAGAGAGAGAGAGAGAGAGAGAGAGAGGCCTAGTCCTTAGCCCCCCCAACCCTCTTCAGCCTAGTATAAAGGCCTTAGGACCTGGCCCTCGAGCCTCATTATTCAGTTCAGTGCTCATTTGCTCTCATAACCGAGCGGCAGAGAGAGTAGAGAGAGAGAGAGAGAGAGGCCTAGTCCTTAGCCCCCCCAACCCTCTTCAGCCTAATATTAAGGCCTTAGGACCTGGCCCTCGAGCCTCATGATTCAGTTCAGTGCTCATTTGATCAGCGACATCAAGACACTCGTCTAGAGGGTCGCCATCAAGAGTGTTCCCACGGGATAGAGCAATGTGGCCATACACTTGGATAGGGTGAATGGCCTGCAGGCTCTCAGAGATGTGCCATAGTTGCCGTAAGGTCGCCTCCCGGGACCTCTATGTGACGAAGTGGAGGTACCCACAGAAACTGGAGGCGAGCCCCTGGTGCGGCGGTCAGAACAGCAGGAGCAGGAGGAGGAGGGGCAGCAGCCGATGGCGCAGTCGCAGAAGGAGCAGTCGGGGGAGGAGCCACAGGTGCACGAGCGACCTGAAGCAAGTTTCTCTGGCTCGCCTACTTGGCTCTCTCCATGCGCATCATAGCCGAAACAATTCGCTGCACATCCGCAAGCGTCAACGGCTGCACATACGCCCCGCCACCACCACGGCCGCGACCTCCCCTCCAGCCACCGCGACCGCCATAGTGGGCAGGACAGTTCGACTGAGAATGGTGATGCAGTGGAGCGCCAGCGTTGCGACGACTCGCACTCAAACCCATTGTTGGAGCGGGTTGAGGCGCCGCCTGCGGTAATTGGGCAGGAGCGACCGTCGCCGTCGCCAATGGCGGGTCCCCATTCCAACATCAGGTTGCGCCCAAGGTGCCCGAGCTGCACGTCGTTCAATCACAATCCCAACCCCCGCAACCAATTCGTGCTATTTCTTGCTAGAGGAGCTGGCAAGAAGCACTGACAAATTCGCAAAAGTTGCAAAATGGGATGTCAATCCGTTTTACTAGAGCAGACAACCACCC